CGCGGTGATTGGAACGGTCAGAATGCGCAGGGCGCAGAGGCAGCAGCGACCAAGCAGGCACGACGCTGAAACGGTGAGAGGCGAGCCAGAAAAAGGAAAAGAGGAGGCGCGCGCGACGGCCAGAAACGCGCAAGCAAGCAGGTACAAACCAGAGACGGCGGGAAAGAAACAGCCAGAGACGTCCAGCCAAGCAGGTAGGAACCGCAGACCGCCGGAAACGAGCCGGACAGGGCAGAACAGGTAGGCAACAGCCAGAACACCCCACCAAGCAGGTACAAACAAGAGACGGCAAGAAACGATCCAAACAGGACAACGCAGGCAAGGTACAGCCAGAGACGCCCAGCCAAGCAGGTAGGAACCGCAGACGGCCGGAAACGAGCCAGACAGGACAAAGCAGGCAGGCAACAGCCAGAGACACCCGACCCAGCAGGTACAAACCAGAGACGGCAAGAAACGAGCCAGACAGGACAACGCAGGCAACCAACAGCCAGAAACGCGCAAGCCAAGCAGGTAGGAACCACAGACGGCCGAAAGCGAGCCGGACAGGACAACGCAGGCAAGCGACAGCCAGAAACGCGCAAGCCAGCAGGCACGAAGCCCAGACGGCAGGAAACAAGCCAAGAAAAGAAGGAAGAAGCAGAAAGGTAACGACCAGAAAGGCGCAAGCAAGCAGGCACCAACGGAGGACAGCCGGGAAAGAATTGAAAAAAAATGCGTTTTGAAGGCGTTTCACGTTCAGAACCCAAAAGGGATCGAGTTCAGCTCGTTGCGAAAGCGAGGAAAAGTCAGATCCAAAAAGAGCAATTTTTTTCATTTTTGCGCTTGACACCCTGAACCTTCAGTAGCAGGCAGGTTTCGCGTTTTCGGGCGCCGCCGGCCGAGTCAAAAATACGCGTTTTTTATTTTGGCTGCCTGTAAGGGCGCGCGGTGATTGCAACGATCAGAAATGCGCAGAGCCAGCCGCAACCAAGCAGGCACGACGCTGAAACGGCGAGAGGCGAGCCAGAAAAAAGAAAAAAGGAGGCGCGCGCGACGGCCAGAAACGCGCAAGCAAGCAGGCACAAACCAGAGACGGCGGGAAACGAGCCAGACAGGACAACGCAGGCAAGTAACAGTCAGAGACGCCCAGCCAAGGTATAGGAACCACTTCGCCAAAGGGTCCAAAAGAGAACCATTCTGGGTCAGTCTAGATCAAGAGGAGCACCGAGAATTCTTCACCAAGAAAAGGTGAGCCACGACTTTGTTGTATTCTACACTCACATCAAACATGGTGTGGTACGGAGCCCTCGCACGACCGGTGCATCTTCCAATTGGTTTGCAGTATGCATGGGCGCTTCGAATAGATCGGTTCCAGCTGGCAGCACTTGGTGAAGGAACGTAGCTTGTGCTTGACATGTCACAAACAGTTGTCAGACCAACAGTTATTGAAGATAATTACAGCTATCGAACATGCTCCGAGCCTTGAAAGCAACAGAGCAAGAGGAGCCAGGTTTCTAAGGGCCGTAAGCCGAGACATTCACTTTGAGCCGACAAAATCCAAAAAAAAGAACATGATGCATATATCATATAACAGACACACAACAGCTTCACAACACCATCTCTCCATGGCCGCTGCGTGGCAGCACGTGCAGATGAGCTGTACCTACTTTCAGTGCTTTGATCCGAACACGGCATTCTGCAGAGCATGGCAGAGCCAAGAACAATTACTTGAGGCCGGGGGTGGATGACGAAAGCTAGCGGGGTAGGAGAAAGAAGGAAGGGAAGAGGTGAGTTGCGGAGGGACTGTCATCATCGTGTCGCGGCATTGTTCGTCCCAACGAGGATGCAACAATGATATATTGATATATATGATATATAACAATGATATATATGGGGGAGGGGGCCTTTCGCGGGAAAAATCACGTGATGTCCTTGGGGAGCCCCGGAATACGTGCTAAAGCAAGAAGACTCTAGCGAGCTGACGCTAGCTGTCGTGATAATGACAGTAATTGCCAATAATGATAAAATGTAATTGAATAACGATGATGATGATGATGATGATGATGA